TCTGAAGCGTCACAGCAGAGTGTTTACAAGAGCACCTAACTGTGTCCTTAAAGAGCGAATGTTGCACATAAATCCTGAAACAGGGCTCACTGAACAAGTGACGAGGTGGATCGCCACTTGCCAGCCGTGACACCTCGCTTCACAGATTCCCCTGGGGTTACTGGGGCTGGCACCGGGGCGGCGGGGGTGGTGTAAGGGAGTCAGCGTGGCACATCACTGCGGAGACTTCTGACTTGTCCCGCTGCCTTTGAAGAGGATAGTAATGTAACTTGAGTATCACAGGAGGAGAAGATCTAAGTTAGGCTAAAATCATTATGCAGCTTCAAGAAGATGGGGATTATTTTATCATCCTTAGATTAGATACATTTAATTATGAAATAACTTTAGCATGAGGTAGTATATTTTAATTTTCTTATGACAAGATTAGTGAATTTGTTGTACCGATGCCACCCAGAGACTTCTGTTAATATTGCAAATCTGCTAGTTTTCAACTGTGGTGGTATTATTATTATTATTAATTATTATTATTATAATATTGCTAACAGAATTTCTTCAAGAAGGTGGTACTGTGCATATGTTTAACTTTGTGCTTACTATTTTCAAAAAGGACACTGTGGCATGAGGTGTCACATACATACACGCACGAATAGACACTACTGAAATTTTTAATATCTATGTTAATTTTTTAATGACAATTATTGTCTTTGTTATTTACCATGAAAGATCACTTCTGAATTCAGTTCTAAACATACCACTCTATTCCTTATTAGTCATTTCTCAATTTATTTTACTGTTTACTGTAGCTCTACTTTGAAGGGCTAAATAATGAAATTTAGGTTAGAGAGAACTTCACTATTTCATTTGTGATGAACCGTAAAGCTCAGCCCTTAGCAAGTCCTTGGACAATGTAAACCAAACAAGCTATGGCCTGTTGGGCAGATACTAAATTTAAAGTAAAACTGAGACAGATTTGGGGACTTACATTTTTTGTATGAGTATCTAACATCTTCCTGCCCAGCTTTGATTGTTAATCTCCTTTGTCTTTAAAGCTCTTTAGGAGACTCCCTGAACCTTTCCTAGGAGCTGACGGGACTTTGGTGCATTTGCTTTGCCATAGGTTTATGAGCCATGACAAACTTTGTTTCCTGTTAAATCTAAGCTATTAAAAAAAAAAAACAAAACCAACAAACCGAAACCCCTGGGAAAACCCACAGCATGTGAAAGAGAGCTGTAGCTTTCTCAGAATCCAGCTTTTTCAAAATCAATTTTTTAGTTCCATGGGAAAACATGCATATTCTTTCAGGAATGTTTTTGCGTTATAAGGCCTGCAGATTTCAGTCCTGTAATAGCAATTAAAAACCCCACAAACCAACCTTTTTTTGCTAAGGGTAAGTATGTATTGAATATCCTGAAAGGACCCAGCGTGTGTTGGAGTCCACCTGTTGTCACGACTGTACGTACACCAAGATATAGTTTTCCGTGGGTAGCTTTAAGTTTGAGACTGATGTCTGCAGAACCGTAAACATGCATGCTTACTTTTAAAGGGCGGGAAAAAAACAATCCAGGTTGAAAGTGTGTCTGAATAAGTGTTTTCAGTATCAGGAGTAACGAGAGAAGTCATTAGGAGCTAGGTGTTTTACTGTGCTGCACATGAGCTGAGGCAGAGGAAAGGGAGGGTTGGAACTGGAAAGGGGAGGGTTGGAACTGGAAAGGGGAGGGAAGCTGCTGTTTGTCGCCTGGGATCAGCAGGCTGTATGATTAGGTTATGTGTCAGCAGGCCAGCTTAATTAACTTACACATGTGTTTATAGTGCTGTTGTAGGATACAACATCTATAGCTGTGTTGTTTTGTAAAGCTTGTCATGTTGCATCTACATGAAAACTATTAATAAAGTGAAATTCTAATTGTCTGCTACTTTACTATGAGTTTTTAAGTTGAAGAAAAATAATTCATAGATCTTTAATAGCTCGTTATGCATTTTTGACTCTAAGGAGATAACTTGTAACAGAACTGAAAGGTCTTGTTTCACCTAAGGCTTTTCAGCTAGATTTTGCTCATTAGATGAAAATAAATCTAATTATTCTGTTATGTAAATTTTCTGTAGTGTAACTCAAAGCAGAATTTCACCAATAAGCTTTTACTTTTACAGCTTACATGGTTTTGATTGATTGTCTTTTTTGTTTGTTTTCTTTGTTGGTGGTGTTTTTTGGTGTTGTTTTTTTCTCTTACAGAAGTATCACAAAGTTGTAGCTTTATCCCATAAAGGCTTATTCTTGCGTGACACATGATGCCACTGTGACACACGAGATACAGTTTCAGAGTGTTTGCTGAAAAAAAACCCAGCCCTAGCTGCCATTTGCTCTTCCTGACCTTATTCCCTCAAGCAAGAACACTGCTGAATGCAACAAAGGCAGGATAAAATAATTTATATTTTGGAGGGACAGAGGGGAATCAGGTTTCAGAAAGATTTCTTAGCAAGTCCTTATTCTCTTCTTGTTCTCTAGCCTGGCTTGCCATTCCCTGCCTGGCCCCTGCCCCCTTGCTCCAGACCTGGAAATGGTCTCAATCACCTGCTTGCTGGACTTTGAAGCTTTATTGTGCCTTGCTGAGCCAGCGGGACAAGTGGAAGAGAATTGTGTCCTTGAATCTCAGTCTTTCCTGTAGTCTTCTGGCGCCGCAATACCTCTGCGTACTGAAATGTCCCTGGCCTGCCCATGCTATGGAAAGCTACTGCTTTCCCCGTTTTACAGGAGACCAAGGGTCTTATCTGTCCTACCACTATGGAGCTGAAGTGCTCCCGTTCTCAGCTGCTTGCCTTGTCTCTCTTTCAGAGACTGCTGTTTCCACAGTGGGTCTGGCTTTACCCGCGTGCAGATCTGCTGCCGAGCCAGTGGCGTTTTCAGCTCTGCTTATTTGCACGCAGCAATACAAATTTGAATGTTAATACATTGGTAGCCTGAGTGGTACTTTGGCACTTTAGGAGTAGACTTGTGTGCGATTCTGCAAGATTGTGTGTTGGAGGCAGAATCCTCTGGGTGCAAGCAGAGGCAGAGAGCGAGCCCAGGGAGCCGTGGCTGCCGTCTTGAAGAGTGCAAATTCCCCGTATGCGTGAGGCAGCTCTTCCCACGGCTCGTGCAACCATGTGGAAGGCGAACGCAGCAGCCAAGGGACTAAACCCATGTCCTGGGTTGTCCTTCCAGCCCCTCTTGCAGCCTCTGCCCACTGGGTTGGTTGGACTCCCAGCCTGGGTGCTCTGTTCCGTCTTTAAAGCCCTGATTTTTTCCATAGGATATCTGTGCTGTGGTTCTGTCAGTTATTCATCAGTATTATGATTTTGTCTGAATTTCTGCTAGTTTATAAAATGGTTTTATATCCATTTCTGTCCTAGTCACAGTGCTTGGTACAAGGAAAAGTAGCCTCTCTGCATCTCTCAGAACTGAGAGCCGTTTCTGGTTGGGAGTGTGTGTGTGTGTATTTCTTCTGTGAAGACCATGTGCATATTCTATGTCCATGTGGGCAATGTCTGAGGGAATTTATGGAGATTTTAGATACACTGGCCGATGAATTGATAAACAAAGTTTTATTTGGTTTTATTTTTCTTTCTTTTTTTTTTTCTCCAGTAAGTGAGACTCTTCAAGACTTGCATCTGTATTTCCTTATCTTCATGTCCTAACTAATATCTCAACTTTTAAGAACTTTGCAATTGATTGTTTCATACAAAATGCATGACTGAAAAGTTAAGGTTGCAAAATCAAGTACAAAAAAGTTAAGAAATGTCTCCTTTGGGCTTGCCTGTGTAGCCTTATATATATAAATATAAATAGAACAATAAGTATGTGTAAGGCTATATAGGCCTGTAACATATATATGTGTGTGTGTGTGTGTATTTTTTTTTTTTTCCTCCTATAGAATCCTGCTAGGTTCTATGCACAGCATCTGCAGTAGTAGCTGATGGCAGCTGTAATCACAGTTATCTAATATGCGGCCCTATCCCCTTTCCTGCCCAGCGTTCAGACCCTTATTTGAGAACCTATCCAATACAGATGGAATCAACAGTGAATTTAGCTACAAGTTCTGCAGAACGTGTACAAACTGCCATTACAGGCCTGAAATTGCCCAGATGCATAGAGGCTGTCATTAAAAATGCAGAAGTTAGTTTTCTGACACCCAAGTGATTCTACTGCACGGTTCCATCTGTTTTGCCAAAGTATATGATGCTACAGCTTCTGCACAGTGCGTTTAATGGTTCTCTGCAATGGCTGAACACGTTTTGACACAGAATAACATTTTTCTCCTGGGCCCTCTCCTTAGCAATGGATGACCTACTTGTACTAAAACTTTAACATTTAAATTAGGAACAAATCATTCTGAAACAGGCACCAGACATGGATTATTTCAACCCAGACATTTGCAAAAGGAAAAATATGCTCATGAGTGAAGAAAAGAGCTTAGAATGGGTTTTGGCAACCTGAGCTGCAACTGGTGATACCAGTATCAAAAATTACGCTTCCACAGCATTCTCAGGGGGCTTGGTGTTGACTCTGTATCCTAAATGGTCATGACCAAGTGCTCAGCTTTGGTCTTTCTATTGACTATTTCACAACTGTAGTCTTCAAATAGATGGTTCCGTGGCCAGTTGTGTCGTACATACATAGCCTTCTTCACCCTTCATTTATGTTTCAGACCACTGCTTTGTGACTACATTAAAAAAAAACCCAACAAACCCACTACCAAGAAAAATGCTTCAATATCTTGAGAATTGGGAGGGAAACTCTAGAGGATGAGGCTTTTGTACAATTGCACTTTCTCTGAAGAACCATTTATATTGTTATAGTGATTTTACATTACGTGGTATAGTGGTAAAAGTCTCTCATGTTTCCTTAGAGGACCATACTGAGAAAACTTGAAGCCCCACAATATCTGCAAATGTAATGTTGGCTACCTGATGTACTGCAACTATGACATTTACAGTAACAGTTGTATTTCTTGATTGTTTTTAGAAATTGCCCCTTGGTTACATGTGTTCAGAGCAGAAGATGCTGTGGACTTCTCACAGTTAACATTTGACCCAGGACAAAAAGAGCTTATTGCTGGAGCAAGGTGAGAAATCTATTTTCTTTTTGTGTTGCATCAGACTGGATTTTGTTCTTTGTTGCTAAGTAATATTGAGCCAAATTCTAACATCAGCTTGCTCTCGTGTGACACCCCTACCTTCCAGACCCACTAAACTGAACATTATGTATGTTTATTTCTCTTATTCCTGACCCAAGTTAAAAGATGGACTGCCTGCTATCAAGGATCCTAATAGCTTACACTATTCTCATTTTTAAGAGGACTGTCCTGCAGTACTCTCAAACTTTGGATGCATACAGTAGAACAGGCAGATGCTGTATGACAATGTGACAAAAGTTACCATAGCATAAAACTTATGATGATCCCAAATTTGGCTACACAATACGGCTCTTTGTGCTTGGATGATTCTAATAATTATTCAGTACAATGCCAGGAACGATCTGGTAAAGACTGCAGAATTAGTGGTAAAGTCAGTGATAATCATAATTTTTGCACAGTAGAACAGTACTTTGCAAGCTGTGATGAAGTGACACTGTCTTAGTTGTCAACATTGAAGCAGTGACAGTCCTCGAACACCATTTTTTTTCTTCTTTTAGCATATGAAATATAGTAAAATGTTTTGGTTGGCAAAAACTTATTATTTAAATCTGCCTTCTGAATATATTTTACTCTTGAATTAACAAAGTTCTAGTCACTTCATTTTTCTGTTAGTTTTAGCATTGGAATATACTTCTGTTTCCTAATTTGTTTCTTAGTTGAAAATGAGGTTCAAAATACAGTCATAAAGTGCACTGCAAGAAATTTTTTTTTTTACCATGTGCCAGTGGAAGTTGCTTATCTACAGGGGCAAAACTCTCTGAGTGTGGAGATACATATATGTCTCTGGCCCACCTGAAGTGGGATATCCTGTGCACTCATGGTGATTTTTCTATTCTGTAAGCTGCCAAATGAAATGAGGCATGAGCCTGTCAGCTGGCGCTCTTCCGTAAAGACAGCCAGCATAAGTCAGAGAGCTGTCTGAGACTCTCCTCAGTCCCATGGAATTTTGTGTTGGATCAATGCACACTGTATAGATCTCCATAACTGATGAAGAAAATTCCTCCCCCCCCCCCTTTTTTCCTCTCTGCTGTTCATCTGGGCTCCAAATCTCAGCAAAGAATATGCTGGTTTAAACTTGTGCTTTTGATGAAGCCTTTTGAATCACTATGGGATAAGCTTTGGATGACTTTGTTGAATGGTCAGAGACTACGAAAAAATGCCAGCTGCCAATTTTGCCTTTTGCAAAAGACTCAATACAGTAAAAGCAATAGGATTAATTTGGTTTCTCCATAAGTTAATACTTCTTCAGAGCTTCATATCTCTTGTAGTGCCTAAAGTTGCAAAATTAGAAATATGTTTTTAAAAGCACAACAGAAATCTTGGTTTTCCATGGTCCAGTATAGTTGGCTGTTATTTGTTCACAGAATTTATTGGATTTTTCCTTTCCTTATTCTGCATTTCCATTTTAAATTCTAAGATTTTCCACAGTGCTGTTGTGTTTGGCCATGGAGACATCACTTTAGAATGACTGCACTTGCCAGCAGGTTTCTCTAATTGTACATATTATTGATATTAGTATGTCCTTTTCACTACACAGTTTTCTCTTCTTGAAGCATTGTGCCAGACTATGTGGTGAAAGTCATTGTATGTCATGGAGTCATAGAGTCAGAGACCAGCAACGCGTTGTCAGGGTGCTGTAGTCCCAAAAATGCAAGTGTTGATCTTGCTGATTATGCATCTTTTGCATGTAGTCCCTGCTACCATGTAGAATGAATCGTTTGCTGTGAATACGATGTTGAGTTTTCTGCTTGTTTGCAGGAGTGGTGTTTGCAGCCTTTCATAGTCTCAACTGGCTGCACTGATGTTTTTTTTTTTCTTAACGCACTGTTTATAGTTACCTTTCACTCAGGGCCATCTGAACAGAGCATTAATATTACTATACTTGTGCTATGGCCTGTGGATAAAATTTTAATACAAGTTTCTTACACATTCGCCTCACAGGATTCACATATCTGAAGAGCCGTTAGAAGAATTCATTTTTTGTCCTAAGCCACAAACGTGCTCTCATAAAGACAGTGAAGAGAATGCACTGTTAATTCCTCCTCCCTGGTGATATATCTTTTGATATACAGTTATTTCTCTTAGAATATTCCAACAATTTTTTTTTTAATTATTATCTTCTTGTACCAACACTTCTGGACTGAAAAACTAATAACTATGTGCAATGTGATTTCAGTAAGATCTGAACAGTTAAAAGTTCCTGTTCAGTTGTGAAAATGGTAATCTGTAGCCCTCCAACATGGTTTTCCCTCTGTACCCAATCGATGGTAGAGAAAGGAAATGTGTGATGTGGCACGTGGCAAAGCTACAAATAAACTTAGATCACTCCATTTATGCTGCCAAGAGAAGTGCTTCCATTATGATTTACTTGTCCAGCATCCAAACAAAACCAGGGGATGATGCTTGCACCTCTTGATTTCTGCTTTAGTAATGTGGTTTTCTTCTAAACCAGAGGAATGATTTTCACAGCCAGGAGCTGTGTCTTGGCTCAGCTTAAGTTTATAATGGATTTTTTTCACCTTAGTGGAGTTTAGTGAACTGTTCCCCGAATTTCATTGTCTTAGAAACCAAACAAAATAGTGTTGTGAAAATTTGACACTATTGGAAATTTTTAAATCCCTTTTCCATCACTGATATTCACTGCAGGTAATTCTCTTCCATTTTTGAAGTTCTACAGCCTCTGAAGAGGTTCATGACTTGTTTGTCTTAATAAGCAAGGTAACAAAGATCCCAGCTGGGATCCAGACTGGATTCCCGTTGGGAGCTGCCAGTGTCATCCAGCTACGTAAAAAGACAGATATGATCCCACGATGCCTGAAAAGTTTGCTTTTCAAATTCCTCACAAATCCTGTACCTCAACTGTGGGGAGTGTCTTTATTTCTCAGGTCACACTCATACGTGTTTGCTACCATGAGGTCTGATGCTTTTTAGTAGCAACTGCTTTAGTTTCTGAATATTGCTATACAGTACAGGTTCAATTATACCTTCTGTTTTAATTGTAAAAGGAGCTAGCACAACTTTCAAGTTTAACGAGGCTTGCACTTGTCTTTGTGTCAGAGTCACCTGACAATCATTACGCCTTCCAGCGTAACAGGTCTGCTTAATAACCTATACTGGATCTGAAGCGTAAGTGCTGTCGTACTTTTGTTTTAAAACAGCGTCATTTGGTTTTCTGTCAATCTGCTGTGCAAAAGGAGATATGACATCAGATGACTGGTGTTCTGAAAGTACCTATCTGTAGTTGAAGTCATGACTTAATGTATATACAGTTGATCTGTGCTAGCAGTAGTACATGCCCTGCTGCAGAATGTGGCAGAGGGAGAGGAATATCTTCTAAAATGACTGATGAGTTAGCCTGGATCTCAGTAGCAACCTACAGTTGCCCCGCTTGCCTGGGACATCTTTGCACAAATTGTCTGTGTAGAAAAATTCATTTAGATAGCTGAGAGAAATGGGGAAGTGGGGTTGAGGGGGTGGGGACAGACAGGGGAAAAGGCAAAGGGAGAAATTTATCTTGCCCGACTTTGATCGAACAGCCCAAAGTGCATAGTGAAGACAAGCGAAGATTACAGTTCAATTTATGAAGCTGAATTAAGAGAAGAAAAATGATTTTTATTATGGTTGCTGGGTGTTAAAATTTGCATTTGAAGAATGTGACAGATTTTTCAGTGTTATGTCAATTGGGTCTAGATTTAATTTAAAAGAAACTTTTTTTTCTTAATAGGTATGTGCTAAATTGTATGAGATTATACATTTATGTAAAATGGAAAAAAAAGAAAATAGATTAATGAGAAACACTCTGCAAAGAAAATTCAGTATAGATATAAACCAGTCATTAGTACGTTACAAAGACTATTGGCTTTTGACACAGGGCAATGTAGCTATGTTCCCATGAAACTGTATCTTTAAAATTTGCCCCAGGCGTTGTTCTTTTAACATCACATATGACCTGGCAGATAAAAATAAATTAGTTCTCTTGCAATCTGAAACCTTCTAGGGAATTCATTTGTTTTCTTCAAAAAAACCCATATGGCAGGGCAGAATTTACTTTTATAATTAAGTGGCATCAGCGAAGGATTACTTTCAGGGCATTAGCTCTTCAGTAAGCTCAAGGAAATGAGAGACTGCTTGTTTATCTTATTCTGATAAATCCTGATAAAATATTCTGGTGAATATTTCTCGGTGTGTTATTTAGTGGACTGACTTAGCATCTAAGCAAATATGATAATGATTTCTGTATTTTGAAATGCCAGTACGCATGGAGATTCGTAGATTTCCCCAAGAACAACCTTGCCTTCTTTTCCTATGTGGAAGTCCTTTGCCATATGTCCTGCAGCATTTTCTTTGTTTCTGTCTTGGAAAGGTCAATTGAGGGGGGAAAAGACCAGCTCAGGGGAAGGATACAGCAGTGTCTGAATTGCCCTGGCAAATTGTGCATTGCCTTTTTTCACCTCGTTCCTTGACAATGTGCTAAACACCAGTCCTAGTTTCTATAAATCAAAAGTTGTTAAAAGTGTTCCAGCCATTTTGATAGAAAGAGAGTCAGCTAGAAGCACGTCTCAAACCCAGTAAGGTTAGGGCAAAAATGTTGGCGTTCAAAATAATTAGAAACATTTTCCTTTTAATCCATTCCTTTTTCCCTTTTTTTTTTTTGTGACTTTTAAAATTTTTTTTTCTTAATGTTTTTACTAAGATCATGCAAGAAGAATTATGTCAGAAGGAACTTGTTTATTTAAAGGAAAAATGAAGTAATCCTCCTCTTCCCAAGCCTCTTGTGCTTGAAATGATGAACTGGTAGGAGCCTAGCTGGAGTTCATTCTTAAGATGTAGTAATTTAATTTTTAAAATTCAAGTTGGGCTAGTTCAGCTATACTTTAAAATTATGTAGTTACTTATCAGAAATGGGTCTCAAAGCTTTTCAACTTTTT